CCCTGGGGCCCTCACAGCCCTGCCCCGCCACTCGGAGCCTCACTGTCTTCCATCCCCGGCGTCCCCTGGCCACCCCCTCCCAGGAACAGTGCTGTAAAACGAAAAAAAGGGGGATGTTAGAGAGAAAGGAGGAAATAAAGTCTTTGGAAAGCAGAGAGTTTTACAACAGCCACAGGTTTTATGGAAGCAATTTCGTAATAACCTTCTACCTGCTCAGCTCCTTTCTGTCCCGCCTGCTGCCCACCCCGTTTGGCCTCCTGGATGCTCCCTCCCAAAGAGTCAGCCCCCTCCCCCCCCCCACCTTCCAGATCCCTGATGGCTGCGAGCTGGTAAGAGGAGATTCCAGAGACCTGCCTGGGCCGCTGGCTGCCCAGGCCTTCCTCTCACCTCTGACGCTTGGGGAGGGAGGCCGAGCAGAAGATTTCGTTGCTTTTCAATGAAAATCCCCACTCAGGGTGGAAGCAGAACCCCTGAGGTTCGAACTCCTGTGCAGAGTCCATGTGACCCATTTTGGAGGCCGTTTTGTGTAAAGGGTGAGGGTTCTGGGGTCCTTGGTTTCTCCCCCCTCCCCTGGAGCAAAGTGTCTCCATATCTCCTTTCCCAGAGGGGGCCTGGACTCTGATTGCGGGTCAGAAGAAAGATCTCAGGGTGCCGGGGGACAGAGACCCGGGGACTTTGCTGATTCCGTTGTACACAGCAGTGCTTTCTTTGGTGTGACCTCCTCAGCTACCTGAGAGCTTTCACATTAAACTCAGCTCTACCTGCCGGTCCAGTGCACCCTCGTATGGCACATACTCATGCACGGCTAATAGAGTCTTCATCTGGCGCCCATCCCCACCATGAAATAAGGATCACGCGATGCACGCTGGCCCCCGCAGCTCTGGGAAAGATACGCGGTAAAGGATTTCATGGTCGGACAAAAAAGTCACAAAATTCCATGACCTCCCTGAACCAGTTTGAGGCATTTCCTTCACCTTCCAGAGCAATATTTTGGGAGGAGGTTGTAAAAAGAATCCAGATGTAAGTCACATGCATTTGTTGGAGAATACGGACCGTATATATTTTGCCTGAATATCAAGTCAACAGGCAGATTTTCAATGGAAGCTTCCGAATCGACTGATGTTTTATAGCTACAATTCAAGGGCACAAATACTCCGGTTTTTGCCCTTTTCATAGGGGTGTGATGGTTATAAAAACGGACACAAAAGCTTTCGGATCATAGATCTTATATGAGTGGAGCTGTAAATCGACATCACAGGCATTATTCACACATCCACATACATACCACTAGATCTTACATACAAATGCTTAAGCAATCCAGTATTATGGTTGGGCAGGTTTACTCATCTCTATTATATATATTAACCCTATTTATTCTATATGCAGCATAGAGTACAGTATACTCGCACACTAGCTTCACTATTGATTTGAGATATACAAACAGGATCCACACATCTATTCAAATGCAGCATGCATAAATTTCAGCTTCGCTTATCGATTAAAAACAGCCGTTCCCCCTTTATTATTTTGACTTTTCCTTCTTCTCTTTTTGTTTGTTTTGGTTTATTTCCCCTCTGTTTAAAATTTTCTCTTACTGACAAGGACCCTTCTAAAAAGCCACCCCTCAAGCCAGGCACTCACCAGCTGGTCCAGGCCCGGCCTGGCCTCTGCGCCTCCCACCTCCGCCTCCCTCATCTGTGCTCAGGGCCCCAGCATGACCGGGGCTGCAGCCGTCCGCCTGCTCTTCCCCGAGCCACCAGCCCCAGCCCAGCTGTGCTCAGGCCCGCTCCTCTCCTGTGCAGGGAATGGCAAGAGGCTCTGAGGGAAAACGGGTTTCCCTTCTTCCTCTTTGGGACTGGGGGTGGGGTGGGGCGGGGGGCGGTACTGTGTGCTCTCTCAGGACAAGGTGACCCTCACTCAGGGAACCCCTTTAGGAGGCACCTTTGGAAACTGGGCATCACCGGCTGAAATCCTGTTTGCCTCCCTCGGTCAGTGTAGGTAGCATTGTCTGGGTGAGAAAAGAAGGGTTTTGTGTTTTTGTTTGTTTGTTTGTTTGTTTGTTTTTGGAAGGGGAAAGGCCCTTCAGAATCCCCAAACAAGGGGCTCCCTCTCAGCCAACCCTTTGGTCATTTGTCTGAACTGGAGTTGAGTTTCAGTTTGGAGCAATAGTGTTTTCTAGAAAGCCTACCTGGGTGGGGCTCAGTGCTTGGTTGCACCTGAAGGGAGCTGAGCTGAGGGGCTAGTCCATGCTTTGCTTTTCCGAGCCCCCTCTCTGAGGTGACCGAGACCCTCAAAGCCTGTCATTTTGACCTCGTCCCCATTTTCCAGCTTCCTTGTGAGCTCAGGCTAAGTTCTGGTGGCGGGAAAGAGCCTGGGTCCCCTCCTTATTCAGAACCCAGGAACCACCCAGGGTGAGGGGCTACTGCGACACTGCACCCCAGTAGGGCACCCCCCACGAACCTCAACGCTCTTCCTCTAACTTCTCCCCTAAACAAGTGGCCCTCCTGACTTCTCTCTTGCCAAGGACAAACCCGGAGTGGGCCGGGGCAGAGTTCAGAGCCTGCACAGCCTGGGTCTTAAGAACAGCCCAGAGCTGTGACTTTTCCACAAACAAATGAAAAAGTCTCTGCCCACAGACCGAAAGTCCTTTTGGACTTTCGGTCTGTAGGCCACAGAGAGCCACGGCCGCAGCCCACCATGCCTCATTGCCCCATTACCGACGGCAGGAGAGACTTCCCCTGAAGAGTGTATTTATCACCCGGAAGCCCACAGCGGACGCCCTACAGCTGGCACAGTCAGAACAGGTGCTGCGCCCACACTGGGATTCCTCCGCTGGCCAGTCCAGGTAGCTCTCTTCCCCAGGCGCCCAGCCGCCACTTAGAAGAATTGGCATCGGGTTTGTTTGTTTGTTTGTTTGTTTGTTTTTCTCTGCCGCGCACTTGGGTCCCCCGGAAAAAGCAGATCTTCCTGCTGTTGGTTTCGGACGCGCCTGGCTGTCATCCTCGGAGAGAGAGAGAGCCGGGGTGGGAGAGGAGGGGGGCGGCTGGGTGCCCGCATTGATCTTTAAAAAATCATTTTGAAATCGCCATAATGTGAAGAAATATGGCGCTTTGCCCTCGTATTTCACGTGTAATGACACGAGATGGCTTCATTTGGAAAGAGGAGCTGGCGGGAGGGTGTGTGCGCCCGCGGAGGTGATCTGCAGCCTTCTGCACAGCGGAGGGGTCCGTGGGCACCACGGTAACACCTCAAATTAGAATCGCCCTGTTTGTTAAGATAATGCGGCTGGGGGCGGCCTAGGTTATCAGGGCCCAGAGCTGCCGACTCAGCCCCAGCCTGGCCCTCAACCCAGCCGGAGGAAGGAGGGGAGAATGGTCTGTCTGTCCGGGGCTGCCCTCCCTGCGTGCGCACAGGCCACTGCACCCCGGGCTGGAGCAGGAAGAGCCAGGGCTGGGAGGTGAGCCGGAAGCCAGCCAGTGGCCCCCAGGGAACCCCAGCTCAGGGCCCCAGGAATCCATTCCAACAAAACACGGGGATTCGGAAACTCCAGCGAGAGAAGGCGGCGGGTGGGCGGGAGGCTGACCCCACAGCACTAGTGTTTGGCGATCTTTCCGGATGGACGACAGCGAGGGGTGAGAGCAGTGGGACAGGGGAGCCTTGAAAGACTCCATCCTCCCTGGGTGGAGGGGGAGGTCGCTGGAGCCTCCCCACACCTCTGCCCGCTGACACCTTAGAGAAGCCCCTTAGTCCTTTGTCACATCCAGCTCCCCCATCTGGGCCATTTTAAGGGCCTGGCCTGTTAGTCCACGGAGGGAAGGAGAAATGGCTGTGCCCCCCCACCCAACCCCAACCCCACACTTCCCTCTGGCCAGGGCCAAAGAGAGGTCCAAGAAATCGGAGGGAGCTTTGGCGAGTTGAATTCAACTCTTCCAGAGGCTCTACTTCCCAGGGCCTGACGGATCCCTTTAAACCCACGCAGGCTCTAATGTTAGGACAGCTAAAACCTCAGGACAGGATTTTTGGACACTCACCCCTTTCTCTCCCCCTCTGCCAGCTACTGAGGGGTCAGGAGAAACTCCCAGGGCAGTATAACCTTCCTCAAACAGTCACCGAGAGCCCCCTCCGAGAGGATACCGCCTCCCAAACCCCCAACTTCTGTCCCCACCACCTCCACTGCATGGCTGCTGCGCAGTTGTTTTAATAAACATCTTGTGACAAGAAGACAGCAAAGAGGAGGGCCCGAGGGATGGCGTGAAGGTGTGTGTATTGGGGAGGGTTGGGGGGGAGGTGGAGGGGGAAACACTTCCTCGGTTAATGAAGCCGCGGGCCCTTCTAGCTGCTCCCAAGCTGGGGCTCTGTCCCTCCCACTGTCCTGCTCTCCCTCTCTCCCTCCCCGACCCGCCTGGGGAGAGGGCTCCGCAGCCCGCCCGCGTCCCTCCAGAGGCAGCCCGCTGCTCTCCCTCCGCCTCCCCTCCGCCCCCGCCACCAACCTCCCCCCCCAACCCCCCCACCATCGGGAGAACTCCACCCCCCTCCTTGCAAAAAGGCGGAGGGAGGGACCGGGCGGCCGGCTGCGCTCGCTGAGGTTACGTGGCCGCCCGAGCCCTGACGTGGTGGCACATTGCATCAGCATAAAACAATCCATCCTCCCCGATATGGAATGCGGCGCGGACGGCTGACAGCGCGAGCGCGGCCCCCTCGCCGGCTTGATTGATGCGGGCGCGGGCGCTTTATCAGGCCGTCGGAGAAACTTTGGCCAATCATTTGGCGAGGGGCGCCGAGCCGGGCCGCTCCACTGTACTTTGTTGGCTGAGAAGTTGAGCTCAGGGGGTGGGGGTGGGAGGGTGGGGGGCTTCGCGGGGCGAGGGGTGGGGGTGTCCGTGTCCGAAAGCCCTCACCCCGGTCCGGGTGCCACCTTCTTCTTCTCCCCTCCCGGCTCCGGCGCCGCGGCGCGAGCGCGTCCCCTTCCCCCCTGGCCGGCGCCCGGATAATGTCTGAGGATGTCCATTTCGGGGACGCTTAGCAGCTATTATGTCGACTCGATCATAAGTCACGAGAGCGAGGACGCGCCCGCGGCCAAGTTCCCTGCCTCCGGCCAGTACGCGGGCCCGCGGCAGCCGGGCCACGCGGAGCCCCTGGAGTTCCCCTCGTGCAGCTTCCAGCCCAAAGCGCCCGTGTTCGGCGCGTCCTGGGCGCCGCTGAGCCCGCACGCGCCCGGGAGCCTGCCGGCCGTCTACCACCCCTACCTGCCGCCCCAGGGCGGCCCGGCCGACGGCAGGTACCTGCGCACCTGGCTGGAGCCCGCGCCGCGCGGGGAGGCGGCGGGGCCGGCGCCGGGGCCGGGGCCGGGGCCGGGGCCGGGGCCGGCGGGGGGCCCGGCGGCCGTGAAGGCGGAGCCGCTGCTGGGCGCGCCGCCGGGGGAGCTGCTCAAGCCGGGCTCGCCCGAGTACAGTTTGGAGACCCCGGCGGGCAGGGAGGCCGTCCTGTCTAATCAAAGACCCGGCTACGGGGACAATAAAGTGTGCGAAGGAAGCGAGGACAAAGAGAGGCCGGATCAAAGTAAGTTATAAAAAGTGAGGAAATGCCCGGGCCGCGGCCGGCGGGGGAGGGGAGGGGCCATAAACCGGACAATGTGAAGGGAAGCCGCGGCGGGCGCGGCCGGGGAGAGCGGGGGAGGAGGAGAGGCGGCGGCGGAAGGAGGAAGGAAGGAAGCGGCCGGGGGTCCCCGAGGGGAGCCGGGGCCGCGGGAGGAGCGGCGCGCCCCCGCTGCGCCAAGGCCGGGAGGAAGCTGGGGAGCGGGGGCCCGCTCGCTTCCCTCCCCCCGTTTCCCGGGGACCCCGGCGGAGAGCTGGGGTGCAGGCCCGGCCGGCGGGCCCGGGAGGAGCTGGCGGCCCGCGGGCGGAGGGCCCGCGGGCAGGGGGAGCGCACGCGGCTGGCAGGGCTCCGCGCCACGCGCGCACCGTAAAGCGGGCCGAGGGGAGGCGGGAGGGGGCTCGTTAGGGTTTTATTTGCGATGCAACAGCTCGGCAGAGGATCGAGCCCCGCAGATGCCGGGTTGGAGCGGCTCGGGGGCCGCTGCCGGCGAGGGGAGGGGCGGGGAAGCCCGGGACCCGGGACGGAGCCCCTCCCCAGGAGCCTTCCCTCCGGCCTCCTCCGCCGCCTCCTCCTCCTCTCCTCCGCTTCCTCTCCCGGGCTGCGGTTTCCTTCCCCCGGTCCCCTGCTGCCCTCTCTCCCCGGGCTCCCGAGCCCCAGCCCGCGCTGTCCGCCTGTCGGGGAGTCGGGACCCACAGCCAGGGTGGAGGAGGAGAGATCCCGGAGGGACCCCCAAGGAGAGGAAAGGTGCGGGGAGAGAGGCTCACGAAGAGGCGCAGAACTTTGCCCTCTGACGGCTCCTCACCTTCCACCCTCCCCCCCAAGCACCCCCTCCAGGAGCCGAGCCTGGCCATTTCCCGAAGGTGCTGCTGCCGGAGGGTGGGGCGCTGGCGGAGAGGGCCCTATGTCTTGTCTTTATGGTGAAGAAGAGCAAATCGGCTGGGGACTCAGCCCCAACCAGAAACCCTTAGGCTGGTGGGGACAAGTCCTCACCCTCCCTCTTTTTGGAGGCGGGGGGTGTCAGATGCTTACTCTGCTTGCTTTGCCAGATTTCCCACCAACAGAGGGGAGCCCAAGCTCTTTGGGGTGTTCCTACTGCCCCACTCCCCCTGAGGGCCCTGGGGGTCCCCACCTGCTAGGTTGAATCACCAGAGCTGGCATTTGGGTACCACTGGCTCTTCCCAAACCCTCCCTGCTCACACCCACATGGAGCCCCCACCCCCATGCACCCCAAACTCTGCCTGGAAAACCCATTATTGCAAGGCAGCCGTTGGTGTTAGGATCAATTATTAACATTTTCCCCCTCCTTCATATTTAATGTGAATGTAGGTCCTACCACGGGCAATCACATTAAGGAAATAGCGCTGCAAATTGGTAAGACATGGTACTTAGTGTAGGATGGACCAGATTCTTTTAAAAATATATATTTCGTGCTTTTTTTTTTTATTTGGGGAGAAGGAATCTAGTCGAGGGTGGCTATTATTTTTAATAGCTCTGCTTTACTTGGCAACTTTTCTGAGTTCCAGGATAGGGAGAGACAGTAAGGAGAAGGAGAAGAGAAGCCCGTAAACATTTCTATTCCACCCCCAACTCAATATCCCTTTTCTCTGCCCCCCTTCACCACACAGAGCCAATTGGGGTGAAGTGTGCTGTGAAGAGTTCTGTTACCACCTTCTGGTCCTTCTCCCTGGCTCCCCACCCTGGGACTGGAGCCCTCGTGCTCCCCAATCTCCCTGAACTTGCTCTCCCCAAACTGTGAGCTGAGCAGGAGCGGAAACGGAGAGACTATTGCAGCCATAAGTTATCTGGGAGCCCCTGGCGCTCCCTCGACCACAGACTGGAGCTGATAAATGGCTGCAATTGGGCTGCTTGTGAACTGGAGTGTGCTGGGTGTTTGCATTTCCAAGCGCGGACACATATTTGCAGTGTGTGTGTGTGTATATATATATATATGTATATATATATATATACATATATATATATATGCACACACACACACTGCAAATATATATATATGGGGAGGGGGCGTCTACATGGACATTGCATGCCTGCTACCCCATGTGGCCAAGAGACTAGAGCTTTCGACCAAGTTACAGTGTGCTGGGACTGGGCTGGCGGGCCCAGAGGTGCCCTGTCTGTGGCTGGACAGAAGCTGCTCTCCCCCAGCCCAGCCCTCTCACCTCCCAGACCAGAGCGAGGACCCTCCGACCAGCCACCCCCCCCCTTAGACCGGTGGTGCAGGGGGTGCCACCGTGCTGGGCTCTGACTTGAGTCCTTACTTGTCTAGACCCAAGTGTAGAGAGAGAGAGAAAGAGGACCAATCCCAGGCGGGAAAAGCGTTGGCAATGCCGGGCAGCCTGGCATCTGGTTGACTCCTGCCCACCTAACCACCTAGAGATGCCCGTGGCTGCTTCTGACCCAGAGGTGGGAACGTGAAGGCCCAGGTGCCCCTTTCTCCAGTGCCCGGTGGGGGGTAGATTGCCAGGGGTGTGCCGCTGGGAAGAACAGGAGAACCCTTCACCTTCCTTCCTTTCTTTGATTCTATCGCTGCTTCTCTTTCAGCCAACCCTTCTGCCAACTGGCTACACGCTCGCTCTTCCCGGAAAAAGCGCTGCCCCTACACCAAATACCAGACGCTGGAGCTGGAGAAGGAGTTTCTGTTCAATATGTACCTCACCAGGGACCGTAGGCACGAAGTGGCCAGACTCCTCAACCTGAGTGAGAGACAAGTCAAAATCTGGTTTCAGAACCGACGGATGAAAATGAAGAAAATGAATAAGGAGCAGGGCAAAGAGTAAAGATCACCCCCTCCCCTTCCCGCTCCCTCCCCATCTCAAGCTTATTTATCAGCGGTGGCCGAGAGCCAGCGCTGTCTGGAATGTATTCCAGTGGATGGGGAAGGGAGCCTCGCTCTTCCGAGTCCTTTCCCGCAATCTAGAGCCTCCTTCCTCCTGCTCTCACCGGCCCTCTTCTCCCCAGACCTCAGGAGAAAGTTTTGTTCATTTAGAAGGTAGACATAGTTGGTTCTTAGGAAGGGAATGGGCCACAAGGAAAGAGACCCTAGTTGAACCCCTAGCAATCTCCCCCTCACCCCAGCTTTTCTGGGGAGCCCCAGCCCCTCACTTCCAGTCTGCCTGTTTCCCTTCCCTCCTAACCCAATGCCACCCAGGGACACCCCAACTGCACACTGCCCAGCAGATCCCCTCATACATGGAGCCTGGGCCCACACTCAACGGAAGCCACCTCCCAAGTGCAGACCATCCGACCCGCAAAGCTGTTGGGACAGCGGGCACAGCATGGGGCAGATTCTGCCCCTGATGCAAATCCAGAGCAAGATGCTCCCGAGTGAGGCATTGCAGCCCAAGGGGCTGACTATCACCATGCCACCCCCACAGAACCCCCGACTCTACCCAGCTGGGCCCAAGGGCAAAGGGATAGCTCAGGCCCCAAACTGGCTGGCTAGAGGGGGAACAGGGAAGGCAGCGGCAGTCTTAGGAGGGTATCTTGGGTTTTATGAAGGCATTCCACACATTCTGTCGCAGGAAATGTTTAATTCTGCATGTTTTCCTCTCCTTCCAACAAAAGGAGGTCAACCCGTGGGTCGTAAACCTTGACCATGTTGTCCATCCTCCGTTCCTCTGTGTCCCGCTTGTCTGAGACTGTAGCTCCTCTCGCTCTCCACCGGCCCTGCATCCTTCCGCATCCCCCCGGCTCCCAAATCAACCCTGGTTGGCCAAACCCACCTTGCACCAGCGAGCCAAAAGCCCCTCGTGGGGAACCCTCCGCCCTCCACCCCTGCAGGTCTGCCCTGCCTGGGGCAGGAAAGCCGGGCCGAGAGTTCTGCGGAGAATTGATTGAGAATCGATTCCTGAGCGCCCTTCCGAGATAAGCTGCGGCGGATAAGGGGGGCAAAGGTTCCGGCGCATGCCCCCCATCCCGGCCAGGTCCGAACCCCCTCGGAGGAGCCGCGGGAATTGGCGGCTGCCGCCTGGGCGCAGAGAGAGCCCGGCCCGGCGCCCGCCGCTCTGCGACCCGCTCCGCCGCGGATGGCGACCTGCACGGCTGCTTCACGCGCGCAGGCTTCTGCGGATCCGTCCCGCGTGCAAAGGAGAAGGCGGAATGGCACCCAAGCTTCAGGCCGAAGCTTCTTCCTCTCTCCTTCCCTTCCGCCCTCCTTCCCCCACCTCTCCGATCCCCTCAGTTCCATGGACTCTTGCTTCTGCGCCTCCCGCCCTTGCAAGGGGACATTCCATTCCAGTAGAGCTTTTTTTTTTTTTTTTTTTTTTTTGCTTTGTCAGTGACTGTGAAATTGTGCCGTGTTTTGTGATTTCTTTAGGGGGGGTGATCGTCTCGCCTGTTTTCAGTTGTCTCTTACAGGGGAGGGTGGCGGGTGGGAGTGGGGAGGGGAAGGGGCCTAGAGCTCGGATTGTTTTGGAAGAAAACAAAAAAGAAAAAAAGAACAAAAAAATATATATCACTCTAGAAAATAAACCTCCTCGTGTCTTATTCTGCGTTGGCTCCTCTCGCCGCCGGCAGGGACTAGAGCTTGGAAAAGAAGGAAGTTTCTCCTTAGACCGTGCAGAGCTGAGAGCTGGCCTGCACCCAAGGGCCCAAACCAAGACTTCCCCTGAGCAGGAGCCTTTCCCGGGAGGGCTGGGGCCCGGGAGGGCAGGAAAGGGAGGAGGTGCGGTGTGGAGAGGGGTCTGGTCTTGCTTCCTCCAAAGTTGTCCCAGGCCAGGGACCTCCCTCAAATTCCAGAGCCGGAGGGAGGGCCAGGCCGGGCCCTGTGGCTCCTGGAAGCAGCTCCGCTCCCAGCCGCAGAGAATGTCACCGTGGTTTGGTCCCTTTAAAATCTCCTGCCAGCAAGGAAGGCAGGAACTTCCTCCTGCCGGTGCCTGAGCGGCGGAGGAACTGGTCAGGCAGAGAGGCCTCCGGGAGGCTGAGCCCTCCCGTCTTCCGTTCGAGGGGATCAAACCCCTTCGGGCTCTCGGTTCCCTCCTGGAATCGGAGGCTCCACTTTGAGCCAAAGGGAGCTCCTTGGTTTGAAGCGGGTGGAGGCTGGGAGGGGCAGCGACCTGGGCAGGCAGCTCCCAGCGGTAAGAGAGAGGATTGAATGTGGAACAGAATTGTCTCCGGAGAGAGAAAAAAATCCCTTTCCGATCAGACCCCAGAAGTACGTTCTGGTGGGAGAGGCGCCTCTCTGTCCCTCTCGGACGGCGGTGTCCCCACCAGCGCCCCTTTGGAGGCAGCACGGTCCTCCGCACCCGCACCCAGGCTTGGGGACTGGGCTCTACGGCGCTGGCGCCGGGGAACCCGCCTCCCCCGGAGCCTCCTGCCGGCCCACCGCAGCCCGGGGCGGCCTGCCAGGACCCTCAGGGATCGGGGTAGACGTGGGGAGAAAGCTTAACCTGCGTGAAAGGGTCCTGACCGGGAGAGGCCAGGCCTACCCCTGTCCAGCGAACAAAGGGATGCCCTCATCAGACAGCTAGCGGGAGGCGGGAGGAAACCACGCTCCTGGCACCCGCCTCGTCCAAGGGTTCCATTCGGATTATAGAAGGGATCTGGCTTTGGGGTTTGTGTAGACCGGGCTCCCTCCTCTTCCTCCCGGTCTCCCGGAGCGGAGGAGGCCGGTGCCGCCCGGAGCAGCGGAGGCTGCGGGGTTGGGAGCGAAGCCTCGGGCGACATCGGCGTCCTCCGCGGCGGCGCTGGCTTCTCTGCAGACAGACAAAGGCGAGGAGGCTGCGGAGCCCGCCCGGAGCCGGGAGCCGGAGATGAGAGATCCGCGGCCATAGAAGAAAGCGAGAGACTCGGAGGGAAGAGCGCGGAGAGTGCCAGACAGAGCAGCCGGGAGAGGCATTCCATGCCGTGCGCGCAGCCATAAAAGAATATGACCGCTATAAAAGTTTATAGCGTATACATTTCTGAAGGTTAAGAAACTAAACAGCAGCAAAGCAAACAGTGAGGGGAAACTTTCCGGAGCTGAGAGAGCCGCAGCTGGGCCTGGGCTCCGGGCCTGGCGGGGGGTTGGGGACCTGGGGGGAGGCGGGAGGTAGGAGGGGGCACCGGGTCCCAAGCCCCCGCTTCCCCGCCCAGTACCAGGTTGGAGGTTTCCGGGGGCCCAAGGGGCAAAGAGGGAAGAAGAGGGAAGGGAGAGAGAAAAACACTTTGTTGTCACCAATGCTTTAGAGAACGCAATTGGACTCTAGTCTTTGTTCTTCACCCCCCCCCAATCGGACGTCATAAAGAAGCCCCCTGCGCCGCGTACACACACACACACACACACACACACACACACGCACGCACACACGTCCGGCGGGGCCAGACGTCTGGGCGCGGGCAGCCTCTTGTTCCTTTTACAGTCCCCTTCCACCCTCTCAGGCCTCCTCTCCCCCCCACAAAAAGCCCAATTGTTTCTTCTCGGGACTCGAAACAATCGTGTTGGGTTTGAAAAGTGCTCGACTCCCCCTTTTACGGGCCATAAACGGCTCGCTGCTCAGCGGGCTCCACCAGAATTTCGGGTCTTTCTTGAAATGGGGGATTGGTGTCAGCCGTGGCTCTCCTTTTTTTTTTTCTTCTCCACCCTGCGTTTTTGGTGTATTTGTTTTTAGCTTATCTGCACAATTCGACGAACCACGGTCTGATTTCCGATCCCTTTCCTCTCCCCCCCCTTTCTGCCAATAACGAAAGTTTCTCCTGGCTTCTGGCCGGGGCTGGCTGGCTGGCTGGCTGGCAGAGAAGCTGGCCGAGCCGGTGGCGGCGGCGCCTTTTCTCGGGGCTGCCGCTAGATGGCAGCCTTGCTCCACGCGAGAAGCCCCGGGCGCGGCGGCCGCGGGCGCCGGCGGCTGCACTTCGCACCTTCGGTGGGCCCTGAATCTGCGAGCTGAGCGCTGCAGAAAGTCATGAATAATTTGTGCGTAATAAAAATATAGGGTTCATTACGGCCATTTCCCCCCATTTTATAGATTTCAGATGTCCTGATGCTGCCCCCCCCCCTCAAATGGTCAATGTTATGCATGTCCCCCAGGAGGAGGGCTCAGGGCTTCTCTTCCCCCCAGTTTCTGTTCCGTGGGGCAACATACGCAAATAGTAATGGTGGGAGTCGTAGTAGTAGTAATAATAATGGGAATAATGGGTGTAAGGAAAAGAGAATTGGTTCGGGAAAACGAGAGTTTTCCGGGGAGGGGAGCCACAGGAATGCCTTCGGATGCGGGTGAGCGAGTCAGGTGAGCGGGGAGAGGCGGCAGGGGAGGAAGGTCAGATGGAGAGGAAGCTGCGGGAACTCCGCCGCCAGATCCGCAGGAGAGGGACCTGGGTGAGCCAGCCCGGTAGGGGAGGCGGGGAGCCGGGGATGGAGGGGGGACAGTTTTTTGGGGGAAACGGATTCATGTCTCTGGTGGGATTGGAGGCGCCCGTAGCCGGCGAGGTGGGCTCCGCAGGGACGGAAGCTCCAGGAGCCTTTATAAGTGTCGGGGTCTGGGCCGGGCGCCGCCGGGTCCAGCCGGGAGTGGGGCGGGGGCTCCCCGAATCGGCGAGGTGCGGAAGGCTGCCTGGTTTCGCCCGGAAAACGTGCGGGGCGGCCCGGAGCAGCCGCTCGGTGTAACCGGGGTCCGAGGTTTCCAGGTGCGAGCTCGGGGCTCGGGGCTCGGGCTCGGGGTGCAGACTTGGGGGTCGCGGGTCCCTTCGCCATGGAGCAGCTGGAGGCCTGGGCCGGGTGCTTCTCCTTCTGAGCTCCGTGCACTGTCTGCCCACAGACCCTTCGACCCCAAATCTCCTATTTCCCCGGCCCCAGCCCGACCCGCGCCCCTCCTGGGGACCAACCTGCGGGAGACCCCCTCCTCCCTTCTAAGAACCCCCCCCCCCCCAGCGGGTGCGCCGAGGCGAGCGGAGTTTCTCAACTCGGGTTTCTCTAATAAATCTGCGCTCCGTTGGGTGTTTATAAATTATCTCCTCGCTCCTTCTTGTTGCGTGTGGGTTTTTTTCCCTTCTTATAACAGAAACATTTCCCTTCCATCAGGAATCTCTGGCGCCGTGTAGGGATGATTTAGAACAAGTCATTGGATTTCTACCTCACCGGTGAGTCCTCACATCGTGACCATGAAACCCACCCCGCCCCCGCGTTTGATAAAAATGTTGTTTCTTCGGCAACAACTCAACTCTCTCGCTTCCGCCCGCGCCGCCCGCTCGGTCTAGGGCTGAAGATCCGACACTTTCCCTTCCTCTTCTCCGTCCTCTCTCCCTGGCAGCCCTGCTCCCATTCTCCCGATTCACCTTCGAGGGGCCCCGGGGGGCCCCCAGGGTCACTTCCCCTGAGAAAGGCGATGGTTTGATTTTTACGAAGGTTGGGATCCCCGAAATACATAGCAAACCCTCTCCGGAATAAACAACGGATGGAATGTATTCCTAAAACCTCCACTTTTGTTGCTAGAAAATGTCTCCTCTCTCTCTCTCTCTCTCTCTCTCCCTCTCTCTCTCTCTCTTCCTTTTTTCTTCCCATCCCTTCCCTTCCCTCAGCCAGTGAGCCCCTCCCCGAGCCCATCACTGCAGACCCTCAGACCAGGGCCTGCTGACGCCTGGCCACCACCGTCACCAGGCCTGGCAGGCCCGGCAAGGCCACCCGCCTTCGGGGATGGCACCGAGTCAGTTCGGATCTGCTGCCTTCCATATTCCAGGCCCCAGGTCCTCAGGTCTGGAGGGAAAGCCAAGCCCCAACTAAAGGCTCCCTAAGGGGGAGGAGAGAAAACCGGGGACCACATCAAAATCCCCTCTACTCCAAGGTCAGCTGAGGCAGTGACAGTGGCTCACAGGGTCCTGGAAGCTAAAAGGTGCCCCCTTCATACACTCCCTCTGCAGCCAAGGCCTAGCTAGGGCCCAGGAGGGCCCAGGGCAGTGGCATCAAGGCCGCGTGCCAGGGCCTGGCGCCCAGCAGTGGCTCCAGCGCCCTCTGCTCCCTTTGATGTGCTGATAGGCCTGGCAGTGCCCTCTGCCCCAGGATGCTGGGAGGGTTGGGAGGCCACTGGGCTTGGTTCCTAGGTCCCCAGGCCTGCGCGGGAACGAGGCAACCCAATTAAGTGGCATTCTGCGGGTGGCATCAGGCTCCTCTCCCATCGCACGAAGTGGGTCCCCCAAAGCCCTGACTGGGCCCAAGTGCCTTCTAGAGACTTCTTCCCCATTCCAAACGTCCCCCTCCCTCCCCAGGCTGTGCAAAACCTGCCAAATCCTCAGTTTAGGGGGAACTTTGCTCCATCCCACTCACCAGAAAGTTTCTTCTCCCTGTCCCGACCCGCTCCACCCTCTCCCAGACCCCTTCCCCCAAAAAGCCTAGCTAGCCTGCTGACTAGGGAAAGGCTGGTGAGCGGTCTGGAGGTGCCAGAGGGGGTGGTGGTCTGGGGGCTCCAGAGAGGGGGGTGGGGACAGGTACTCTCCGCAGCTGAAGGAGGCCAAAAAATCTCCGAAAAGCCACCGTTTGCACCGAAAAGAATTAAAAGAAAACCACCCCTAATCATTTTCATTTCGGCCTTGCCACCCCCGCCGAGCGCAGCCGGGCGGCGGGCCTGGAAGCTGCAGTTTTATAGCTGTGGAGGAAAGAACTCGTAAAATGCTAACAGCTTTTATGCGCTGCGGCATAAACAACAACAGACTCCGGCTTTATGGCGTTTTATAGTTTGTTAAAGAGTTTACAGGCGGTTCTGCTGGGGGGGGGGGTACCCAGCCAATTCCCTCCGCACGACGGTTAAACCTTTATCAATAATAAGGAAATTGATCATTAAAGCTTTAAAGATGACTACCTCGTTTGTCGGGGAAATATGTTTAGGGGAGGAAGCCGTATGATTTGATAACTTGTATTAAAATACCAATTACATTTATCGGACCTTTTAAAACTCGGCGCAATTAAGCCGTGTTCTTTTTACATTTTTTCCGAAGCGACCCTGACATTTCAAAAGACTCCAACGGCCTCGTTAAAAATCGCGAAATTAACAGCGTTGCCTGCGTCTGGCGCCTCCGCTCTCTGGGTGTGCGTGGTTGTGTAGGGTTGGTTGTTTTTTTTGTTTTGTTTTGTTTTTTTCCTTTTTTCGTGACGCCCCCACATCAGCCTTTGGGGTGGTCTGCGAAGGTATTTGATTTGTTGCGAGGGGAGAGGGATCTCATTAATGTAGGTAGTTAAACAGATTTAATCCGTATTCATTCTCTCTCCCCCCTCTCCCTCTCCCCCTCTCTCTCTCCCTCCCCCCTCTCTCTGGGTGTTTTTTTTTTTTCCTTCCCCTCCTCCCCCCCCCCTCGCGCTCTCCTCACTCCCTGGCGCTCGCTCGCTCTAGCTCTCTCGCTCGCTCGCTCTCTCGCTCTCACCCTCGTTCTGCGTTCTGTCCGGGAGGAGTACCGAGAAGCCAATAGGATGCGTGGTCTCTAATGGATGCAAATGATCATGAAAAGACAGTGCAAAATATGAAACAACTCATTTGCAGGGGAGTAAATCACCGAAAACTGTTTATGAACTGGCATCCTTTCTTCGAAATGTAAAGCGAGGACCTCCGTACGCGGCGGTATATTTTTGTTTGGGGGGTGGGGGGTGGGGGGAGGGCGAGCGAGCCGGCTGCCATGCGAGCGTAGACTTTCGGAGGCTCCGCCGGCCCTTCTGTTCCTGGAAATCACCAAAAAGTGCGGAGGCTCCGGGATCGTCTTCGCCTTTTTGCCTTTCTTTCCTTTTTTCCCCCTCCTCCCTTCCCCTCTCCTTTCCTGGCGAGGGTGGCTAGGAGCCGGCGAATCCGCGTTTTTTTTTTTTTTCTCCTCTCTCTCTCCTCTCTCTCTCCTCTCTCTCTCCCTCCCTCTCCCCCTCCCCGCCCCCTCCCCACCAGCCCCCAACTACAGCCGCCGCCGTCGCCGCCGCCGCCTCAAAATTCAATAAAATGAGCTCTTATTTCGTCAACTCACTGTTCTCCAAGTACAAAACCGGGGAGTCCCTGCGCCCCAATTACTATGACTGCGGCTTCGCCCAGGACCTGGGCGGCCGGCCCACCGTGGTGTACGGCCCGAGCGGCGGCGGCGGCTTCCAGCACCCGTCGCAGCTGCAGGAGTTCTACCACGGCCCGTCGTCGCTGTCCTCGGCGCCCTACCAGCAGAACCCGTGCGCCGTGGCCTGCCACGGGGACCCGGGCAACTTCTACGGCTACGACCCGCTGCAGCGCCAGAGCCTGTTCGGCGCGCAGGACCCGGACCTGGTGCAGTACGCCGACTGCAAGCTCGCCGCCGCCAGCGGCCTGGGCGAGGAGGCCGAGGGCGCCGAGCAGAGCCCGTCGCCCACCCAGCTCTTCCCCTGGATGCGCCCGCAAGGTGAGCGCGGGCCGGGCCGGCGCGGGGGCCGGAGCCCGGAGGCCCCGAGGCCGGGCAGGGGGCCGGGCAGGCGGGGGGTGCTCCCTCCGGCTCCTGGGAGCCGCGCCTGCCGCCTGCAGAGGGTCTCCCCCTGCTTTCCTTCCTCCCCTTCTTCCTCTTTCTTTCTCTCTCCCTGTCTTTCTCTCGCTTTTTCTTATCCCCCCCCCCGCCCTTTTTTTGTTTGTTTCCCTTGAAGGAGGGTCGCTAAGAGACATTTCCTGAATCCATAAAACCCCTCACCCGGCCTGACTTTTCTTCTCTTCTCCTTCTCCCCCTGCCTTCCCCCCTTTTACTGTTTTATGGGGGGTAGTGGAGAGAGGGTGGTGGGAGTGGGGGGCGCTCAACTTTTGCACTTCTCAATTGCTTTATAGTTTAATTGCCCTGAAGAAACTTTTCTTCTGGGGCAAAGGCTCTGGGGGCTTTTCAAGGTGGGTCCATTCGTCCCCAGCCTGGCATTTTTATTCTTATTCTCCCCCCCCCCTCACATCCTTCCTTCTAAAGTTTATGGCACTTTTCATGGATTGGAGCCACCCCCAGCTCCCTCTCGGATGCTTGTTACCAGGGGAGGTGGCTCCCCCTTTTTCTGGCTCCCTTAAATTCAGTGGTGTCTGGTGCCCCTCACCCCCCCCCACCCCCGCCCCCACCTCCAGCTGACCGCGGCCTCCTAGCGCCCCCTCCCCCGCGCCGGGTGGAAGGTCCCCCTGCCCTGACTTATTCTACTGGTCTCCCAGGCTGGTTGTTCACGAATCTTCCAAACCTTCCCCGTCTCCGTCCCCTCCCCCACCCTCCCCTTCCCCCCGTCTCGCCCTTTCCCCCCCTCCCAGCAGCCGCCGGACGCAGGCGAGGCCGCCAGACCTACAGCCGCTACCAGACGCTGGAGCTGGAGAAGGAGTTCCTGTTCAACCCCTATCTGACCCGCAAGCGGCGGATCGAGGTGTCGCACGCGCTGGGACTGACGGAGAGACAGGTCAAAATCTGGTTCCAGAACCGGAGGATGAAGTGGAAAAAGGAGAACAACAAAGACAAGTTCCCCAGCAGCAAATGCGAGCAGGAGGAGCTGGAGAAGCAGAAGCTGGAGCGGGCGCCAGAGGCGGCGGAGGAGGGCGACGCGCAGAAGGCCGACAAGAAGTAGGGGCTCCCTCCGCCTGGGACTGCCAGGGCCGCGGCCGCCCTCCGCCCTCCGCCCGCCGGTCCCCCCCGACCGGCCGACCGCGCCGCCGTCCACCGCCCGCCCGCCGCCCGCCCGAGAGCTCCGGTCCCGCGAGCGGGGCCCCGGAGCCAGGCCTCCCGCCGCAGCGTCCCCGCCGCCAGTCCCGCTAGTGGTAGATTCTGTAATAGCTTCTGTGTGTGAGCTGCCGTGGACCCTTCCCTGCCGGGCCGGGGGGAGACAGGACTGAGAGCAAGGACGCCCTCGCCCAGCGAGGGTGAGCGGTGGCCGCCGGCTGAGCCCCCTCCCGCGCCCCCGCCCCGTGTACAAAGCCTCCTTGTGCAATGAGCCCCTTCCTCTGACCGTGCTTCCTTGTAACGACCGAGGTACCGATCTCTGCTAAGTTCTCCCAACAACATGAAACTGCCTATTCACGCCGTAATTCTTTCTGTCTCCCCTCCCAGTCTCTTTCTCTCTTTCTCTTTCTCTCTCTGCCCCCCACCCCCCATCCTCCTTCCTCATTTCCTCCTCCCACCTTCCCTGGCCCCGCAGCCCCTACCTAGCTCGCTGGCTTTCTCTCTCTCTGGCTTCTCTCTTTCCTCTCCCCCCGCCCCCCTTCTTTGATTTGACAATTTCGTCTTAAGTGTTTCTCAAAAGAGGTTACTTTAGTTAGCATGCGCGCTGTGGGCAATTGTTAAAAGTGTTCCTAGGTTTACTGTGAAGAGAATGTATCCTGTATCCGTGAATTGCTTTATTGGGGGGAGGGAGGGGAGGGGAGGGCTAATTATATATTTTGTTGTTCCTCTCTACTTTGTTCTGTTGTCTGCGCCTTGAAAAGGGCGGAAGAGTTACAATAAAGTTTACAAGCAGGAACCCGAGAGGGACCGGCGGGCCTCGCTCTCTCCTCCTTTGCTCCGGGCGCCGTGCAGAGCCGGGCGGGGAGCGGTGCCGCGGCCCCTGCGCCCGCCGGGCCGGGCCGGGGCGCGGAGGCGGGGCGGGGGCTGGAGGCAGGTGGTGCGAGTCCCTCGACCCAGGGGCGCGGGGGGCGAGGGAGGCGGCTGCCGCCTGATTGGAGGAGAGAGGAGGAGGGAGGGGAGCCGAGAGGAACCCCCACCCTTTGCGTTCCGAGACTGCGTGGCCCTGGAGACCCCGGGCCTGGCCAGGCAGGAGGGATGAGCCCGGGCTGGTGGCTGCATCCTCGCCACCTTCTTTGTTTCTCTGTGCCCTCGTGTGTGCGAGTGTGTGTGTGTGTGTGGAGGGGAGGGGGCGCAGGAGGAGTGCAGGGCTACTGAACGAGCTTGTATATTTTTATTTTTCCGGACTCTGATGGCGGGGGGAAGCGGGGGAGCCGGGAGATGCTCCTGCCTGCCTCCCCCTCGCTGGGACCGGCCCCCTAGGCCCAGCTCCGAGGTCTTGGCTCGTCGCCTTCCTTCCTTCGCTCCCTCGGCTTCTCCGGCGGCGGCGGCCGGGCAGGCGCTGGGCGCAGGCATCCGCCTCCGGAACCAGAAGAGCAGTGCAGCGGGCCGCCCTCCTCCCTTCCTCTCTCTCCCCACCCACCCGCCCTCTTCCTTTAAAAACATTTTTTTTTAATTTTTCAAACCTTTTTTTGCTTTAAGCCACCAGAAAACGCAGCACCCAACGCCCGTGGGCTGGTTCCGGCGCCCCAAGGAACAGCCACGGAGTCTGGCTCCCTCCCTGCCCTAGGTCCGGGCGCCGGGCTCCCCCCTCCCCGCTCCTCACTCAGGGGGACCGGGCTGAGTCCCCCCCAAAGCCTAAGGCCCAGCCAGGCCAGCCTGGTCCGGATTCATAAAGACCTGACCCGCCCACACCCACCCGCCCCGTGGCGTGCGGTCCCCGCGTTTGTTTCCCGCTGGGCAGCGGCCTGGGAAGGAAGGGGGGGTGGAGGGCCGACACCGCGGGAGGCTCCGAGGTTATTTATTTCCCGGCCATCAGCGCCTTTCTCCCCGGATCCCGCCTCCCGGCCAGCGGCCTCCCGGCCCACGGGGGCCGACCGCGCCCCCGGAGCCCCCGGCCCCGATCCGCAGGGCCTGTCTCCCCCCCCCCATTCATTATTGATCATATTTTATATAAATCCAACGCCACACAATTTTTTCCCCATTACCGGAGCCGTGGGGAGGCGGCCCGGCCATTGGCGGAGGGCGCGTCACGTGGGCGGGGTCACGTGGCCCCGGGGAGGAAAAAAAAAAAGGGGGGTCCTTTTTGGTGTAAATCTGGACTCTAATTCCGTAATATATCAAGGAATCTCGTAAAACCGACACTAAAACGCCCCTGCCTACAAATCATCCGGCCAAATTATGAGTTCATTGTATTATGCGAACGCTTTATTTTCCAAATATCCGGCCGCAGGTTCGGTGTTCGCCGCCGGCGCCTTCCCCGAACAAACTTCGTGCGCGTTCGCCGCCAGCCCGCAGCGGCCGGGCTATGGCGCGGGCTCCGGCGCCCCCTTCGCCGCCGCCTCGGTGCCCGGCCTGTACCCCGGCGGCGGGGGGGGCCTGGCGGGCCAGGGCGCCGCCGCCGGCGTCTACGCGGCCGGCTACGGGCTCGAGCCGGGCTCCTTCAACATGCACTGCGCGCCCTTCGAGCAGAGCCTCTCCGGGGGGTGCCCCGGCGAGGCCGCCAAGGAGCAGAGGGACGCGGACTTGGCGGCAGAGAGTAACTTCCGGATCTACCCCTGGATGCGAAGCTCAGGTAACGCCGCGCACCGAGCCGCCCCAGCCGCAGGGGCCCGGGCACATGCCCCGGGAGGCGCCCCCTTCCCGGCCCAGCGCCCTGTCCGCGTCCACAGGGCTCCCCCGCCCCCCGGCCCGGCAGGAGGTGGGCCCTGGGGACGCGGCGCCCCGCTTGGCCCCGTCCCGGCGCGCCGCCTCCACCCAGTTTTGCTGGGCGCTCTCGGGCTCCTCGCTCTGCTTCCCGGCGGCTCGCTCTCTCTCCGCCGACAGCGCAGCGCTCAGCGCTCGGATCCCCCAGCTCGTCCCCCACCCTCGCTCTCAGCCTTTTAGCTTTAAATATTTATCAGCCGCGCCCGCAAAGGCCGGGGAAGAGGCCGTTTGTCTTGCGGAGGAAGGCTGGGGTTTGCAGAGAATAGCCATTAGGGTTCTCCCCCACCCCCCACCCCTCCCCGTCCCCCCTTACCCCCGCTGAGGATCTCAGCTCTGGGTGTGTCCCCCAGTCTCAGCTTGGATAAGGTCTAGGGGAGGGGGCTGCAGCGATGAGCCACTCTCCCCTCCCCCTTCCTTCCCAGCCAACCCCACTCCCCCATTATTCCCTTCTGGACCATTAGAGGTGGGCTCTGGAGGCCGGCGGGAGGGAGGAAGGGGTGTGAGGGATTAGGATCCAGCCTGGGACCCAGAGCCGGGAGAGGCAGGTGGAGAGAGGGGGCAGGCCGAGGCCGAGAGAGATGCGGCTCCTGACCCCCCAGTGAACTTGGGAAGGGGGGGCAGGGAAAGAGAGAAAGGGACAGAGGCCTCATGGAAGTACAACGGGCTTACTCAGGTGCCCTCCTAGGGCTCCTACCCGCCCCCCCCCCAGAACTGGCCAACAAGTCTGCAGGGATTATTCCAGAAGGGTGCCTGTCCTTTTGGGGGAGGCACTAGGACTTGACAGAGCCAAATCCAAAGTTAGAAAGTATAGGCCACTGAGTCAGCTGCTGTAGGAACCCCCAGAGTCCAGGTGCTCCATGGAGTTAGTTCCCTGGCAGGCCTTTCCCTGACATTCTTCCTAGTGCTGCCGCCGCCTCAGCGGTCAACCCCAAGGTCCAGAAAGGCCCGAGACTTGTGGTCAGATGCTCCCCATCCAGCCAGGGTTGAGGGCCAGGAGAAGACCAGCTCCTGCCCCATCACGCTCCCCATTACCTGCCCCATAACTCAACTGCCTTTCCAGTTCATTCATCAAAGTCCCAATGTTTCTGCTCGTAAACATTTCAGCTTGGCTTTTATCTGGTTTGAAATTAGGGCCCCTGGTCTCTCCTCCCACCAGCTTCTTCCCAGAGGGCTGGCACCAGCTCCTCCCCCAGCTCAACCTCCCCGGAGCCTCCTCAGGGCTTGGGGCCTAACCTGGGAGGCTCTCCTCTGCCCCTCAGCCCCCATCACCCAAATACTTTATGTTCTACCCCCCACCCAGGCTGCGGTCTGTGCTCTCCCCCTGTGCTCTCCTGGAGGCCCACAGATGGCTGTGGAGAGTGAGATTGTGGGCAGGTGGACAGGCAGGACAGCCTGTCCCTGTGAGAGCCTCCGCCACTCACTGGAAAACAGTCCTCAGAAGGCAGCTGCTCTCACCCAACTCCATGCTCCAAGGAAACCTGTAAATTCTCACCAGCTCCCCATTCCACAAGGTGGGGGGGGGGGTAGGGAAGAAGTGGAAGGACTGGACACAGGAGGCTCCTTTGTCTCTTTTCCTTTTTGGGAAAAGCACTCAGGCCAGGCCTAGTGCTTCCTATCAGGGTCACTCACATGGTTTCCATTGCCCCCTACCCCCAAGACCATCAGAGCCTGCACCCAAGGGCTTGAGGCCCCCAGTCCTGAGGGTGGTGGAAAGATGAAGGTCCCTTTACCCCACGTGCACCCCTCAGGCGCTGGGCCTTTAGCAGGCAGCAGTTTAGACGCTGGGTTCAGAAGCCCTGGGCTGGGAGATTTCTTAGCCGGAAAATGGGAATATTTGCCCGCAAAATATTTGCCTGCCTCCCCCTTCCCTGTAGAAATGTCTGCACACCGAGGAAGAGAGTGGGCCTAGGCCGGGGTACGGAAAGTGAAAATTTGGTTTCAAGGGAAAATGGGCTCCTGGGCACTCTCCTGGCCTTTTTCCTCCGCACGCACTGATTTTTTTTTTTCTTCCTCTAAACACTGTGCGCAGGGGCCGACCGCAAGCGAGGCCGCCAGACCTACACCCGCTACCAGACGCTGGAGCTGGAGAAGGAGTTCCACTACAACCGCTACCTGACGCGGCGGCGGCGCATCGAGATCGCGCACGCGCTCTGCCTCACCGAAAGGCAGATCAAGATCTGGTTCCAGAACCGCCGCATGAAGTGGAAGAAGGAGAACAAGACCGCGGGCCCCGGAGCCCCTGACCAGGACAAGGCCGAGGCTGAGGAGGATGAGGAGGAGTGAGGGAGGGAGAAGGGGCAGAGGAAGAAACAGATGAGGAAGGTAGAGAGGGAGAAAGAAGTCCAGCTTTTGGGAACTGAACCAGGAAACTCAGATCCAATAGGGGAGGAAACCCTATTTAAATGGAAAACAGTTTAAAAAAATTTTTTTTAAGGAGAGAAGGTGAAATTTCTTAACACTGAAACAAATAGCTTAACACTGAAAACAAAAACTACCTATAAAAAAAGTCCGCCGGCCTGTTTTGTACAGCATGGAAAGGACATCGACTACCTGTTCTGTAGCTTTCTGGAATTTGCCTCCCTTTTTCTATGTCGCTACTGTAAGGTCTTTGTAAAAATGTTGCTGTTTTGTAAGCCCCCATCTTCGCTGCTGTCTTTTGTGGTCTGTGGGTCCGGACTAACTGGACTAACGTGTTGTTCCCGCCCCCATGAGCCCACCTTCCCAGTAGAGGCACCGATGGGGCCTTAGGGAGCCCCAAGGACCCACTGACTAGCTCCATTGTCCTCTACGCACCTGCCCTGCCCCTCAGCTCCTTGCTCCCCTCAGCCCTGTGGTCCTCTTTACCTCCTTCTGTGTGTATCTGAAGAATGGAGAAATAAAATGCAATTTAAAAACAAACGGATGCTCTATTTTCTGTGTCTCCCTAAGGCAGGGCGTGGGTCAGGCTAGCCATGCAGTCCAGCACTCATCTACTGTAATGTCTCATGTCGGCCTGTTTCTTTCTGCCCTGGGTCTCAAAAATTTTTTTCCTGGTGTCCCTGTTCTGAGGGCTGCCAACTAGTGAATCCAACATCATACACACATTCCCTCTCCATTTTTTTTACACACACGATGACACACACAAATGCACACCATCCTATATTTATAGGCGGACATCACATAGAAGGAAACCTATATTGTCATGCACAGCCACAAAGAAACACTCATCTTTATATATTCACACACACACACACACACACACACACACACGCGCGTCCTCACATCCCAGCTTCGTGCCCAGAGACACGCATTCATGTTCGCACACACTCATGAGCAAACACAGATTCACACTCACCCCCAGACACATTTATGCGTGCCAGTGTACATTCACACGTTGGCGTATAAACACACAGATTCACATTTGCCCCTCGCTCCCCCAAGTAAACACATCCCGGGCCCACATGCTCCATCACACAGGATCCCAAGACAAACCTCACGGAACCCACAGACTCCCTCCGCGGGCCTTGCATCCAGGCCGAGGGCTGGGCCGGGCCGCCAGGGCCCCAGCTGACTTGCAAAGTGCTGGGCCCCAAGCGGAGGGCGAGCGGAAGGAAAAGGAAAATGACCACCCGATTCCACCGCGATTCCTGGCATTCCTGGGCGGCGCTGGGCTGAGGCCAGACCAGAAGCAGGAATCCGGGGAGAGGCCTCACGCCAGGCGCTGCCAGCCCCCGCGGCAGATAGCTTCTGCGAGATCTATTCGGTTATTTTATTTCCACGCATTTTATCTTCCACGGACTTTCATTGATATGTTCGAAATGAACACAGGGGCCCAGGTAAAACTTTAAGATGGGGGCTGGGGGGCCGAGTGGAGAGAAGGAGAGCCTGGGCGGCGCGGATTTACCGGCTGGGGTGGCCGCGTCCCGGCGCCCGAGCCCGCGGCGCCCGCCCCTTGGCCGCCGGCTTCTTCGCGGCCTCCTCCGGAGCTCAGGGGAAGAGAGAGAAAAGAGAGAGATTTGCGGGGAAGTTATTTCGTTTCTGGAATTGGGGCGCGAGTAGCTTAATTCAATACCGGAGGATTTCAGGGGCGCGGGGCTGAGAAAGGAGGTAGATTGTGTTGTTCTTGGGGTCGCTTTTGCTTAAAAAAAAAAAAAAAAAAAAACAAAAAAAACCAAAAACTTACTCCCTCATTGAGGGACAAAGCCCCGGAGGCTGGCGTCCCCGGCGCCGCCGAGTTTTAGTCTGTATTCGCTGATAAACCCCGGGTTTTTATTTCAATGGAAAGAGCAGCAGTCGGCAGGCTGAAGGGAGAGGATGGGAAGGGAAGGGCGTTTTAAAATCTGTTTGATTGGAATTTGTAAGTAAAAGGCCCCGGAGTCTGCAATTCCCCCGTGAATGGTCGCCGAACCCCTTGGAGAGCACACGGAGTGTCCCCGGTGGGCATTGGGGTGGGAGAGGCAGGGATCCCCCGTTAGCCTCCTCCGATTCGTGGGGTGCAGAGGCAAGAATCTGATTCCTACACATGCCCTAGCCCTCCATCAGGGCCACCTTCCCTCCCTGGGGGGAAAACGAGGGCCCCAGGGGGTCTAGGGCCCCCACCCCCGCAATGCTGTAAGCCTCACAGGTGGGGGTCCCGCCATTAACAGAGCTAGGAGTGAGGGGGGCATTCAGGGAAGCACAGGGGGGCACGGAAGCTTTCATTTCGCCTCGATGCCATTGGCAACTCAGAGCACCAGCTGCTGCTCCCGACTAACCCCAAAACTGCCTCTGAACAGTCCCCGGGTGGAGTATTTGGGGTGAGTTTTTCCTAGAAGAGGGGGGCAGAGCCCCTGTGAGAATCCGGGAGGTTCCAAAAAGGACCCCCTTCCCCGTTGGAGCCTTGTGGCTCCCCGACCTGATTGCCTGCACCCCAAATATCACCCCTTCTTAGGGTGGGGTTTCCCCCAAAAAAGCGAGGATGAGAAGAAAAGAAGATGGCGACTGAGAAAAGGGTTGCTGGTGGAGCAGCCATGAAGAAATGCAATAAATTCCTTGTTGTTTTATGAAAATTTACAACTTTGTGATAGAAGTTTATGAGTGGTTGAATCCAGCGATTGGCCGGCGCCGGTCATGTGGCCGGGCGGTCGTGAACATGAACTTTTTATCATTTCCCTGGTGGTTATCATGCAGCATTCTTTTGGACACCACACCTAGGTCGGAGCACTGTCGTCCTTCAGGGCTCCAGCCTCTTGATATTTTTACACTTCACTATCAGTTCGATCAAGCAAACGAGAGAGGGAGAGGGAGGACGAGAGAGGGGGAGAGGCAAGGAGAGAGAGAAAGGGGGGAAGGAAGGGTGGGAATTACACAAAAGAGAGGACCTGAAATAATTTTAATTCCTAAGTTCATTTCCTGGCTGATCTGGGATTTTTAGTCACCATGGAGGGTAAATGGACAATCTGCCCAGGACTGCAGGCTGATGCCATTTTTCAAAGCCAGAACTTACTCCATTTTCTATGCAAATATCAGGAAAGAAAAAAAAAAAAAAAAAACGAAACACCCTCTCTCCCAAGCCGGAGAAGGGGAAGCGACGGCTCTCAGGTTGGGACAATATTATCTGGAAGATGAAGAAGAAACCGAACGCTCTTTTTTTTTTTCCCTCCTTCCTCCCCACCCTTTTCAACTGGAGGACAGAAACCTCAAGATCTGCAAAGGTAAGGGAGATTCTACAGTTTCTCTGCTTATTCTTTTTGCCTCGAGGCTGCTGTAGGTGGGGCTTGGGGTTGTCCCCCCTCCTCCCCTGTCCAAGATGGGCCTGAACCCCACCTCTGGGTGCTGCAGGGAGAGGCTTCCTCGGGGAAATTCGGCAGCGGAGAGAGGGGTGGCCGCTTCCTGGAGGAGGAACGAGGGCAGGGAAGATGGGAGGAGGCACCGAAGGGGCCACGGAGGCGAGCTTAAGCCGCCTTTTGAAGCTGGAGAGGCTCCGGCGAGGGGGGCTGCGGAAGGGAGGATCGGGGGTTTGGGCTTCAGGGCACTCGGAGAAGCCGGTGGTGGCTCCAGCCTCTGTGGGTTTGCGCCTCCCCCCCCTCCCCCCATCCCTCCCTCGTTCTGGCCTCCCCCCAATGGCCCCGGTGCTGTTCTCTTGCCCCTTCGGGTGTCGGCAGCTTCCCGGCAGCATTGGCACGAGGGGCGGCGGCGCCGAGGGCCGTCCTGGTCTCTGGAGGGCCTGGGATCTCCGCAGAGGCCTCGGAGGGCCAGGAGGCGGCTGGGGAAAGACAGAAAGGACAATTTACGGGGAAACTCGCTCATTGTGTCTCTTTGGAAACATTTAAAATGAAAGGGCTGTAAGTGGAGGCATCTAGATGGAGGTCCTCCCCTCCCCCAGCCTGGCCACTCCCGAAGGAGGCAGCCTTGATCTGCAGGGAGAGTTTTGTGTGTTTTTTAACGCGGTAGGTCACAACGTGCTGGTTTCTGTGCGACGCCTATGCTATTCCTCGTGTTTTGTTGGTTTTGGGGGTGGGGGGTGTGTGTGGTGTGTGAATTTCGGTGGAGGGGGAACATTGCCATTTGCATAACGGATGTTGAACCATTTCAAACTTTCCTGGATCTAAACCTGGTGATTGTGAAGAAGCTGTTCTGTGTGTTGTTGATTAAGGCTTGTAAATAATTTTTTTTTAAAAAAAGGAGAAGAAAATAAAAAAGGAAACCCAATTGGAGGGCCTAATGGTGTCCGGGCTGGAGAGCTGCCTGGCGCTGAGCTCAGACAGCTAGTCCTGTCCCTCGGGCGCCAGGTTTCACCCCCCAGCCAGGCCTTCTGGGGGCGAAGGGGACGCTTTGGGCTGGCGAGGGAGATTCCTGGAGAAGCTGGTGGGGGTGGAAGACGGTGCAGGTCTCTGGGTGTGGACTTAAAATAGAGTAAGGGAGCTTCTGAGGAAGCTGCAAGCCAAGAGATAAGCGACTTTGGAGAGACTGATTCAGTTTGGTTGACGCGATGAGGTGATTGCTTCTCTCTTCTTACAGACCAAAGGCTGAGTGTCCAGACTCGGGCCCCTGGTTGCCTAAGGAGGCTGTGTACGGGGTCCTGGCCCCCTTGGTCCTGAGCTGGGCGAGAGGGACTCAGCCACTTGTGGCCAGGGAGGGGTCCCTGGAGGCCCAGGTGGAGGCCCTCCCAGCAGGCCGGGATGGGGTGTCTGGAGGGACACCGCGCTGCGCACAGCCCGGGAAGTTCTCGGCTATTCCCCACGGCACTCGGAGCCTATTCTCAAAGGGGGAAAAAAAACCCAAACCCACCCAGACGAAAGGTCTTTTTCTCCTGCAGTCTCGGCCGCGGGGTATAAATCATCCCTCGGTTTGCTGGGATCCAAATTATGCGGTTTGCTGCCATCTACCGTCCGTTCGGAGACATGCGGCTGCGGCGCCGCCAGCCCCGCGCCGCTGCCTGTACCGCGCCCGACGCCCCGAGCCCGGCCTGGCGGGGTTTGGCTTAGGCTTGGCGGGATTCGGGGACTTCGGGGCCCCGATGGATCCCGCTCACTCCCCGTTGGATCCCGGTTCCCGCCCGCCTGGGTGTGCGTTAGAGAACAAGTGTCCTCTCCCCCGCGCCCGCCCCATCCTGGCTCCGAACCTCGCGGCTGTTTCTGGGGAATATTTACAGGGTCTGGTCCTGCCTCCCGCCGGCGGGGGGGCCCTGAACCGGAGACCCCCTCCCATCCACACACGCGGGCGCTGGAGGGGACCCCCGGCCTCTTGGGAGATGCGAGGCCAAGGCTGTTCCAGGTTTATTTGGTGTGATTTTGGCCAAGGGAGGGGCCGGCAGGGGAGGCGCCGGCCCGGCAGTCAAAAGACAACCGGGTCTGTGTTCTCCCGGTCGGCTGGTGCGTCTTGCCAGCTCGTTGGCGGGCGAATCGGTGGTGGAGGAATGGAGCCTAATTTTCTGGAAACTGTCGGTGTCTGCGAGTGAGTGCGGGCCCCCTCCCTCGTTCTCAATCGTTTCGAGCGAAATGACCGACCAAGATGCTGTGGGGGTGGGTGTGTGTGTGGGGGCCGGGGCCTGGGAGTGGGAGTGAAGATCAATCACTGGGGAGCCGGACCTTTGTGGTTTTCGTTCCTGCCGGACCCGCACACCCGCTTTCCCAGAAGGGCGGCGAGGGCGGGGGGCTGCGCGGCTGCCTCGCTGGGATATGGACCCGGTCTCTCGGGTTACTGATTAGCTCGGGCTTTCAAGCCCCGGGAGGAAGCGCTGGCCATCCCTTTCAAGGTGCTGTGGCCCCGGCTCCTGGGCGGGGGCTGCAGGAAATGGCCTGCGGTGCCGGGCGGACCGAGGTGTTATGGGGTCTGGCCTGGAGCTGGAGGAGCTGCAAACGCCGGGGCCATCCCCCCCACCCAGTACCTCTGGCGCCTCGGGAGCCTGGGCTGCAGGGGCAGCCCCTCCAGGGTTCCGCTGCGGGAGAGATTTTCCTGCGGCTGGAAGGCCCGGCCGGTACGGGAGGCCCCGAGGGAGCGCGCCCCACCGGTAGGGGCCCCTCGGGGGATTTTTCTTGTGGGCAACCCAAAGGTCAGGTGGGGAGGAGGTGGAGGTGGCGGGTACAGAGGGTTCAAACGCTCCGGGGCTCCTAGAGTGCTGGGGGACCTGGGGGTGGCGGAGGGGGGAGCGGGAACTGAGCACCGAAGCCCTCCCCTCCCCACCCGGAGACCAGAGACAAGGTGGCTCATTTGCATATGAAAATGAGGTCCTTGCCCCAGCTCTGGACCGGCCCCGTTTCCAGGCCCCGTCCCATCTACACAGCTCCAAAAGGTTGGGAGCCACCACATTGCTTCCTCTGGGAACATTTATGCTTCCCGAACTCCGAGAATCACAGAATTGGGTAGCTCTATGTTTCCATTTGCCACACCCCAGCCACAGTTACAAGTGGAGTGGGGGAAGGTGTCCACAACCCAGGGAGCTGGGGTGGGGGGCGCGCTTTGTAGCTGAGAGGAAAGGGGAAGCCTGGACAATGTCTCAATCCCCCCTCCCCTCCTCTCCCCCCCCCCCACACACAGGAAGATACCCCTCCCTGAGCTGGCTGGTGCAGGGGAATTTTCCTCCCGAGCTGAACAAACTGAGGCATTTCCCTGGGAGCTGGAATGTGTGAGCGGCCACAGGGCTGCAGATGGGAAGCACAGAGAACTAACCCCTGCCTGCGAGGTCTCTGTGCATCCTTCTGTTGTGTCCTTAAGACGTGGTACACGTTTCTATCCACCCCCGTACATACATACGTTTCCTGGTTGAAGCAGGGAGAGACCCCCCCCCCTCCAGCCGGACAGCCGGCTGTGCCCGCTGCTGTGTATTTACATATCCCCCCTTGGAGACAGACAGATGGGACAGTGGACTGAACCACAGACAGAGCCGTAGAGACCTGGCTCCAGGAATCAGGCGGCCTCTGGCCCAGCTCGGCCTGCCTGCTCTTTCTCCCAAACAAACGGATCAGAGGAATAAACGCTCATAAATACCTCTGGGTTTAGATAAGAGCGATGAGGCGCGATTTCCTTTCATGCCTACTACAGGCGCCCAGGCCCTGCCTTTTCGGCTCCGGCTCACGACAGGCAACCTGCAGAGGTGAGGGTAATTTGGGGCTGTGACTCTTAAGGATAAGGGGGTTATTTCCCTGCTTCAATCACAGGGGAATCTTACTTTGTCCAGACTCCACAGGCAAGCTTACATCACCCAGTCCCAGAATGGGGACATAGTGGCCAGCAAGGACACAGGGAGGGCTGAAACCCAAGGCCCAGCCTCAGGGGCAGGGGAGGAGGGGGTACACACAGCCGCCCTTCCACCTCGCTCACCTCGCCCACAGGGTCCACGTGCCTCTGTGGGAATGGGCCCAATCACAGCTAGATTGGAACACTTACAGGGCTGGTCACAGCTAGGCTGGAAACATTTATGATGCCCCATCATTAGAGGGCTTGAGTTTATTGTTCTTAAATCCTGATAAAACGACTGCAGCATCAGGCTAGGAAGGGACCACCCCTTGGCCATGACGGTGCAGCCTAGATGTTGTCCTGAGTTCAACCAAACAGGTCCCCACCCTTAGTCACCAACTCAGCCCTCTGCCATTGTCCCTGGTGTCTTGTCCCGTCTTTAGGGGGTAGAGCCGGCCCCCAGAAAGGATCCCAAAGAGCAAGGCAGAGAGGAGGCGCGGCCTGGCCCCGTCAGCAGACATTGTCCCATACCATGGCCCGTTCCCAGCTCCAGGTCTGAAGGTGGCCACCCTTTACCTCCTCTGCGGGAACACTAGAATTTTGAAAACACATTGTGCTGCCTTCCAGCCTGGCTTCAGTGCTCGTTTTCTTTAGACGCGAGAGCCAGAGACACACACACACGCTCCCGCACACTCAGGCTGGTGCTGCAGGAAGCTGTGCCACACACATGAGGAGGGGTGTGAGGGATGGTAGAGATGCTGAGAGAGACAGAGGGTGGTGAGCATCTGGAGAGGGGATGTGGGCTGACATTGCTGGAGCTGCCTGCTGAGACCCAGAGACTCTTCCCTCTTATAAAGCCAAAATTAAGTCTTGGGGAAGAATTTTTAAAAAGAACTGCCAGCTTCTGGAGAGACTCGGAAAAGGTGCGAGGACCCCTATTTTCCTGGTGGTCTCTAATCGCCTCAAATATCAGGAGGGTTTGAGGACCCCAAATTAGAGGAAGACCAATTTCTTTCCTGTACCCTCTTCCTGAGACAAGCTTGATTCCTAAGGATCTGTAGCCCCGGATGTTCTTCTGTCTGTGGGGTGAAGGTGGCAGGCAGGATAAGTAACCAGACAAACCTAGGCTGGGGAGTGCCCCTCACACCTCCTCTCTTTATCCCTTAGCGGAGAGGGCCAGACCCTCTCCCCAGTGCCCCTTCCTGTGCCAAGAGCAAGCGGTATATCCTAGAGCCAGGCATGATGTCTTAGGTAGCAGCCGGAGTGGTTGGTCCAGGAGGCTCCTAACCTAGCTGCAGACCCAGAGGAAAAGGTTAGGCTCAGACCCTCGTCCCATTTGCCGGCCTTTGGGGTCCTCTGGCCCAGGCTCTGGCCTGCTTCTCAGACCCTGAGAGCTGTGGAGAAGCAGGAATAACCCCAGGCTTGGCGAGATAGAGCAGATCTGAGAGACAAGGGGGCGGGGGGCTTCAAAACCTGGGAAAGCGATGGTTTCCTTTTCGCCTCCCTCTTTCTGCAAGGATGCCAGTGAGTGGAGAACTCTTCTCCCATTCCACCAACACAAAACCCCAGGAATAAACCGCCTTTGCTTCTCTCCCGGCTAGGTTGAGATTTGAGATTCAGGGGCGGCTGCCCACCCTTCCCTGGAGGGAATGGGGCTCAAGCAACGCAGGGGTTAACTTTTCTGAAAACACAATTAACTTTTCCCTATCCTGCGTGGGGAGGGAGGGGTGTAGTTATTTAATCACTTGGGGGATGAGGTGGTCTCAACCGAAGCTCCCTCCTCCCGCACAGACGTCCCTCTTGCAGCTCCTACGTAGATGGAACAGAACGCGTCGTGTTGTTGGGGGGAAGAGAGAGAGAGAGAGAGAGAAAGGAGAAGGAAAAGGAGGGGGGGGGGAAAGGTTGATAGGTTTGTGCGCGGGTCCCTGGCGCGGGCTGCGCTCCTCCTGGGTGCTATTTGACAATTCCTGCCTCTGCCATTGGTCAGTGTTGGATCAGATGGTTGTATTTCCTTCTGGCCCTCGCTGGCACCTCGCCATCCCCCCTCCGCGAAAACCCAATCTCAGATATACTCCTAATAGGCGCGGCGCTCGGACTATAAAACACAACAAATCATAAAGCCGGCGCAGCAGCGGGCCGCGCGCCTCCCTCCCGATGAGCTCCTATTTCGTGAACTCCACCTTCCCCGTCGTCACGCTGGCCGGCGGGCAGGAGTCCTTCCTGGGCCAGCTGCCGCTCTACTCCTCCGGCTATGCGGACCCGCTGCGCCACTACCCCGCGCCCTACGGGCCCGCGCCCGGCCAGGACAAGGGCTTCGCCGCCGCCTCCTACTACCCGCCCGCGGGCGGCGGCTACGGCCGGGCGGCGCCCTGCGACTACGGCCCGGCGCCCGCCTTCTACCGGGACAAGGAGGCGGCGGCCTGCGCGCTCTCGGGCGCCGACGAGCCGCCCCCCTTCCACCCCGAGCCGCGCAAGCCCGACTGCGCGCAGGACAAGAGCGTGTTCGGCGGCGAGCCCGAGGAGCAGAAGTGCTCGGCGCCCGTCTACCCCTGGATGCAGCGGATGAACTCGTGCAACAGTGAGTGAGGCTCCGCCGCCATCCCCGCGGGCACCCACCCCGGGAGGGGAGGCAGAACTAGGGAGGCCCCCATCCCCGCCCCCGTTCCCTCCCTGGGTGCAGGCTGGGCATGCGGGTGAGGATCGGAGGGAAGTCGGGGCGCCCGGACAGGGTCCCCTGCTCTGCCCTCTCGCCCTCAGGAGTTAGAAAGTTTGCAAAAGTCCCAGCCGCGCTCTGAGCCAGGGGAGCGAGGTGGGCGCTCCGGGGGCAAGGCCAACCCGGGGTTGCGGGTCAGAGGTCGCAGCCACGGGCTTGGCTTTCCCTTGGGTCCCCCCCCCAAGCCCTGGCCGGGCCCCCCCACCCCACCCCAAGACGGTTCCACTGAAAACCGAGTGCGTCACGGGGAAGGGGGGCGGTGTGACGCTGGCGAGGGAGAGGGCAGCCGTCCCGGCCTGTCTCCCTGGAGGTGGGGGGTGGGGGGCTGGGGGAAGATGAGGCGCCAGGAAAGGGGCGGAAGTCAGAGGAAGGGGGGGCAGAATAAGGGGAAGCCGAAGAGTGGGAGCAGACGGAGGAGGGGGCGAGCGGGAGAGGCAGGCGCCTGGGTCTCAGGCTGGATTATTTGTCGGCCTTAAGTCCCAAATTGATGTCCATTAGCGGGACAAGAAAGTGAGGAGCCGTTAATGCCCACGGTGGATCGATCCACGTCATTACGGATTAAGGACTGGAATCTGTCACCGGGGGCGCGGGGGGGGGGCGGGGGGGAGCCAGATGTAAGAAAAGAAACGGGCAGCTAGCCAGAGACACACCTGGGCGCCCCTTCTCCAGCCCCTCCCCCCCTGGGCTCAGGTGGGATTTTAAACTGCCCCTCCCCGCCCACACGGGAGGCCCGGAGGGAGGCGCAGGCCGCGGAGGCCCGCGGGGGATTTGGAGGGGGCGCTGCAGGGCCCCCGGGACGGGCTGGAGCCCCCGCGGGAGGGCCGGGTGGGAAAGGCGACCCCAGCCGGGCCTCAGCACCTCTTCTCTGCCTCCCAGGTTCCTCCTTCGGGCCCAGCGGCCGGCGCGGCCGCCAGACCTACACCCGCTACCAGACGCTGGAGCTGGAGAAGGAGTTCCACTACAACCGCTACCTGACGCGGCGGCGGCGCATCGAGATCGCGCACGCCCTGTGCCTGACTGAGCGGCAGATCAAGATCTGGTTCCAGAACCGCCGCATGAAGTGGAAGAAGGAGAGCAAGCTGCTCAGCGCGGCCCAGCTCAGCGCGGAGGAGGAGGAGGAGAAGCCGGCGGAGTGAGGGCGCCGAGAAGGCCGGGGGCGCCCGGTGGTGGGGAGAGGCCTGTGGGCAGCCGGGGGCATCGGGGAGCTGGAGGAGGCTCCGCGGGCGGGGGAGCCGGGGGACCCGCTCTCCTGCACCGGACGGGCGGGGCCCGGGCTCCCCGGACGCCCCCCACCCGCAGAGCTCTCTGGGGGTGCAGGGAGGCTGTGCAAGCCTGAGCCCACCTGGCCCCCTCGGCCCCCTCCATCCTCCCGGAACCCGCCTCGGCCTGCCCGGGCTCCCTCCCTCGCCCCGTGAGAACTGAGGACCGGACTCACTGGAGGTGTCCTGGAAGCAGAGCAAAACACACTCTTGTCCGTGTCGCATCTCATGCGGTCCCCGTTCCCCCGTGTGCACGGTTCAATGGCAGCTTCGCAGCCCCCTCAGCGGGGGCCCCGAAGACTCCCTGACCCCAGACCTCTGGCCCGTCCCCCGCCCCGAAGCCACTGGAAGGAGCACATACTACCTAGAAGCAAGAAGAGGAGCCTGAGAAGAAAACAAAGTTCTATTTTATTAATTTTCTATGTGTTGTGTTTGTAGTCTTGTCTTAGCTCTCTGGACGTGAAATACTTCCGTAATAATATTAATATTATTATTAATGATGATGATGATGATAATAATAAAGACATAAAAAAACGCGCCGCTTGGTCACCTCTGCTCTCCCCGGCCACGCCCCCACCCCCGGGCCACCCCGCGGGCCCTGGGCCGGAAACGCGGGGTGCCCTGGGCCCCCCAGGCCCGGCTGGACTCAAGTCACAGTTGAGATAAAGGCTGGAGCCGGCCCTCTCTGAACGGCCTCTCTCGGTGCCGCCTGGGGGGACCCAGCAGGGCCTGTCTCCACGAGCCAGGAGGGACTCGGCCTGGGCAGCGCCTTCTGGTCCTCCGAGGAGGCCATGGCCTTTGGCCTGCCCACTTGGCCCGATCTCTGCTGGCCTTGGCCCTGGGCTCTTGGCTTGTGGCTCCGGAGACCAAATCAGGGTCGTGCGATCTCTCTTTCCCCGCAGCTGGAAGCTCAGGCTGCCTTTCCTGCCTGAAGTGGGAGTTCGGTGACAAGGAGGGGAATGTGGAGCCACGGGCAGGCCAGGCGCCGGCACAAGGGCACAACTTTCTCCTCTTTGGGAACCCTGAGCGAGTAGGAAGCCAGGTTGGGGGGGGGCAGTCTGGTCTCCTCCAATCTACCCAAAACGACTCATTCTCTCTTACGCCCACCAGCACCCAGGCTGCAAGCTGTGGACGCTGTTTTCCTTTCTTCCTCCTCCCTGTCTCTCTCTCCCTTTTTTATTTTTAAAGAAAATAGACTATCGGCAGAAAGGGCCCAGCTGCGGCTGTCTCTGGCCGCCCAGCGCGCTCAGCAAGGTCCTTGGACCCCCTTCCCCGGGAAGGCACGGGCGTGGGGCACATTCAGAAAGTGCCCAGACGCTGGCGATGGGCCTCCAAACGCAATAGCAGGCATCTGGGGCCGAGGCGAGAGGCTCCTGCCTTGATCCCGAATTCTGAAAATCTTTCCAACCAGACCCCAGATGCCCGCCCGATGCGGTCACTGGCTCTGTTTTTTCCCTACAAACTAGGCCATTTCGCCTCAGCCAGGCTCTTCCTGGGGTCCCTGTCCGGCTCTGCCATTCCCCAGGCTGGGCTAAGGATGGGAAGGTGGTCGAGCAGAGGATCCCCCAACTTCTAAGGGACACAGGAGAAGCGAAAGTTTTTCCTTCCGACACTCGGCCCAGCCCTGCCTGCTCGGCCGGAGGGCGGTGGATGGGCCACCGCAGCCCGTTAGGAAGCAGGTCGGGCGGGGCCGGTGGGTGAGGGTGTGGGCATTCCGTGCCAATAACTGTTTTTCACACACATCTCCCCACCCTCTCTCCTGTTTCTGCGCCCTACTCGGAGACTTGCAAAAAAAAACCAGAGTAAGGGAAAAGCAGCTCCGTGCTGGATCATCTCATCCAGAGTTGAAAATAACAATGACCGGGCGAAGAACACACATAGAAATAATCCACACTCCCGAGAAAGGGAGCCCAGGCTCCAAAGGGTCCCTCCTGTCAAAGATTCAACCCTGCGGGGTGATCCCGGGCTGGGCCGGGTTTCTTTCTCGCCGGGGTTCTCGGGGAGCCAGCCGGGAGGCAGCCAGCCTGCGCCGCCATGGCGGCCCTCGGCCCGCGCTCCCGCCGATCGCCGGGAGGTGGCGCGCTCTGCTCAGAGGCCGCCGCCAACCCTCTCCCTGCGTCTCCCCCTTCCTCCTTGTTTCCCCCTCTCTCGGAGGCTCGCATTGAATCGGCCCTAACGATTCTCGGATCGTCATTATTTGTAACCATAGAGCATGAATTACCTCTTGAGGTCATCAGTGAGAATTTACGACTGGTCAACAAAAGCACGTGATTCCCTAACGCCCCCCCATCCCCCCTTCCAACATCCCCCCCCCCCATATTTGGCCGCATACATAGCAAAACGAAGTACAGTGCATCGCTATAATTCATTAATACATCATAAATCGTGAAGCACGGGGTTATAACGACCACGATCCACAAATCAAGCCCTCCAAAATCACCCAAATGAGCTCGTACTTTGTAAACTCCTTCTCGGGGCGTTATCCAAATGGCCCGGACTATCAGTTGCTAAATTATGGCAGTGGCAGCTCTCTGAGCGGCTCTTACAGGGATCCCGCTGCCATGCACACCGGCTCTTACGGCTACAATTACAATGGGATGGACCTCAGCGTCAACCGCTCCTCCTCGGCCTCCTCCAGCCACTTTGGGGCGGTGGGCGAGGGCTCGCGCGCCTTCCCGGCGCCCGCCCCGGAGCCCCGCTTCAGGCCGGCGGCGGCGGCGTCCAGCTGCTCCCTGTCCTCGCCCGAGCCCCTGCCCTGCACCAACGGCGACAGCCACGGCGCCAAGCCCTCTGCCTCGTCCCCCGCCGACCAGGCGACCCCGGCCAGCTCCGGCGCCAATTTCACCGAAATAGACGAGGCCAGCGCGTCCTCGGAGCCGGAGGAAGCGGCGAGCCAGCTCAGCAGCCCCAGCCTGGCGCGGGCGCAGCCGGAGCCCATGGCCACCTCCGCGGCCGCGCCCGAGGGGCAGACTCCGCAGATATTCCCCTGGATGAGGAAGCTGCACATCAGCCACGGTAATTCCGCTCTCTCCTCTCCTCTTTTTGTCTTCCCGGGCGGGCGTCCCTTCTCTGCGTTTGGGGATGGTGTGTTGGGGGGGGGGGGCGGCTAGGAGAGGTTGGCTTTCCTCAAATATAGCTTTATTAATTTTTTTCCAGGGGGGCAGAAGTCTGTAAGAGAGTCCTCCCAGCTCCGGGGACAGAGCCACAGAAGGGCGTTTAGCTGGGGAGGGTTGGGGAGGAGTATTTTGTAAATAATTTGTTCCCAGACCCGGCTCGGGTGTTCCTCGCCCGGCTGTACCAGCTTTGGGGTGAAGGATGGGGCTCCTGGGAGGTGGGGAAGGGTCCTGCTTGCTACAGAAAGGGTGAGGCTGCCGCCGGCAAGGAGGGCCAGGCGGTCCAGGAGCTTCCCGGGGCAAAAGTGCAGCCGCCCTCCTCCCTCCGGGGGGCCGCGGGCGCCCGAGCCCGGCGAGCGGAGGGTGAGGCGCAGGGAGGGAGCCGGAGACAAAGCCGGGCGCCTCGCTGCCCGCGGAAGTCGGGGCTGCGGGAGGAAGAGGGTGCAGAGCGCGAGCTTGGATTCATTCGGGGGCCTCTGGAGTGGGGAGGATTGGGGGTGCAGTGAGCTGGGGCCCGGGGACGCCTGGGTCCTGCTCCACGCCCCCCTCTCCCACCCAGGGGCTTCCCCCCCCCCCCCATCTCCCTTCGCTGGGGTATAACGTGGCCTCGCGGCTCTGCTCTGTCTGCTCCAGATATGACCGGGCCTGACGGCAAGCGGGCCCGCACCGCCTACACCCGCTACCAGACGCTGGAGCTGGAGAAGGAGTTCCACTTCAACCGCTACCTGACCCGGCGGCGGCGCATCGAGATCGCCCACGCGCTCTGCCTGTCCGAGCGCCAGATCAAGATCTGGTTCCAGAACCGCCGCATGAAGTGGAAGAAAGATAACAAACTGAAAAGTATGAGCCTGGCCACGGCCGGCAGCGCCTTCCAGCCCTGAGTCCTCTGGGAGGAGCCCCGGGGCGGCCCCCTCCGAGCCGTCCCCAGCCCCGGCCCCGGCCCCTCCGGGCCTCCCCGCGCCGCCGCCGCCGCCCGCTGGGGACTGGATCCCATGCGCCTGCCTCGCCCCAGCCTCGTGTTACCATGTTCCGTTTGGTCTTAGATCTTCCTGTGGCTCCCCCTCTCTCCTGGACTGATCGATCTTGTTATTATTGTTCATAATAAGGATAATTATTATTTCCCCTCCATGCTCCTCGCTCCCCTCTGCGCCCCCCCCCTCCGCCGGATCCACCAGTGTTTCTGAATGTTCGTGTCTGTGGTTGCACTCCTTCCCCCAGGAAGAAAAAGAAAAAAAACTCTCGCATGTGTAACTGTGAACTCTCCCCTCCCTCCCCACCTTGTCCGTCTAACTTATTTATAAAAGGATGATGGCTGTATGTTGAGTTTTCAGCTGGAAACTTCTCTAAGGGGCAGCAGGGGTGGAGGTGGGGTAGTGCCGCAGCGCCGGGCCCAGCTGAGCTGGCCTCGGACGTGGAGTCCATGACTGTGTGTTTCTTTCCGCCCTCCTCTTCCTCCTCCCTCTCCGATCCCTGGGCCCAAGTCCCTTGGTGGCTTGGTCCCCGGGGCGGGGAAGGGGCCAGGGAGGACCAAAGCGGTGGTGATGTTGAGAAGAGGGAAGGTATAGAGTGAGATTTGAGTTCCTGCTGCCTGGGTAGGCCCCACAGGCCTGGTCTGGGAGTGTACGGAGACAAAAAGAATCCTCAGTGTAAAATGTCTTGTGTATTCCTCTGTGAATCCATGGGCCTGGTGTAGAGAGGCCCAAAGCTTGTAAATATGGGGATACTCTGGGTAGACCCATCGCCTCCCCCCCCCCCAAATCCATTTTGCTTCCAAGACTATCTGTAGTGAGCGAGTGGGTGCTGTGCTACGCGTGAAATCTGTCTTTGCCGGCCTGTCTCAGTGATTCTCGCTTTTGGTATTTGTTTGTAGCTTCCCTTAAAGTCAAATAAATGTTTCCCCTACTCTGCTGCCCTTCCACTCGTCTTTTCTCTGAGGGGCCTGCCTCTCCCATCGCTGGGCACACCCTAGACGGGTCTAGATAGGTCTGGGGAGCAGGGAGCAGAACACAGGGTGCTCCCCAGCAGCCCCTCTCAAGGACCCAAGCCCTGGCCTGCTCAGCAGTGCTTGGGCCAGAGGACAGGCCTGCACGCTGGGGACTGAGGCCCAGAAACCCCACATGGGGCTGGGGCGAAGAGAGGCTGAGCTGGCCTTCACCCTGGTCTCCCACCAGCTGGCCAGAGAAGGCCCTGGAAACCTCTTCAGGGGATGCAATTTGGGCCTAAGTTCTGAGCAGGAGGCTCCTGGCCAGTTGGGAGTGGTACTGGGGTACCCAGCTCCCCTGTCCCCTCCTCCAAATCCCATTTCAGTTCTGCCACCCACTAATGCAAATAATAATAATAATAATAATAATAATAAAATCTGCTGGATTTCAGAGGTTTCCCTCACCCTCAATCTTCTCTACACTTATCGAGGCCTCTCTCTCTCTCTCTCTCTCTCTCTCTCTCTCTCTCTCTCTCTCTCTCTTCCTCTCTCTCTTTCTCTCTCTCCAGGAGCCTAACTGACCTTTCCTCTTGGTTAGGAATTGGGGGGTCCCTCCTGGAAAACCCCTGGCTCCCCCTCCAGTCAGCCTGGCCTAGGCCAGGGCCCAGTCCTCCTCCATCCAAGTCAGCCTCCACCCTGAGCAGCAAGAGTCAAGTCTGAGCACTTACCGGCACATCCCTTCCAGCTTGGCCCAACTTCTTGCTGGACTTGTGGGGGGAGGGGAAGCTGGTGAGGAGGCAGCAGAGGGTCTTGGAGGCTCTTTCCCCCTCACCCCTTGACTTTGTCCCCCTTTGTCCATAGCAAACTATCCCAAAAGTCGCTATGACATTTAGATGTCAAATGGATAGGGGTTTTATCTCGAAGTTAGATCGTAAAAATCGCGGAGAAGTCAGACAGATACCCCTCACTGGCTCGAGAAAGTCACGTGAGGTCCATAAAGTTAGTTTTATGGTTTTGGGGAGTTGACACCGCACGGTATATTTCACATTCTCCAGAATGTTAAGTGACACTTTAACTGCTCGCTGTGGTGGGGAAGGGGGCAGAGGTAGGTGAGGGCTCTCCCAGCCCAGAAGGCAGTGGCGGTGGCGGAGGCCCAGCTCTCCCGCAGTAAGTGGCTTCCAGCTTTTGCTTTTTCCCTCTTGCCGTTTTGGGGCTCGAAACTGGGGAAGGAAATCTCGCCTCCTGGGGCAGGGCTGTATTAGGATACGTGGGCAAAATCTGGTCTGCTTTTTTGCACCAAGATCTGACAAACGAGGTATCTGAATGCAGGGGGTGGGGGCGAGTTTGCACTCAGTTCAATAAGGCCTCAGTGGTTGGGGCGCCTGGCTTTTATTTGCAATCGTGTCTGCCTTTTTGTGGGGGGAAAGGGTCTGTGTGGGTTCCTCAGGGTCCTTGGGAATTTGGGAGGTAAGAAGGAGGGGTGTGTTCTGCTGGAAGAAGGGCCCCTTGTGGGGGCCAACTCACTGCTGGGGCTTCAGACAGAGGTCTCCCCCCCCGAAGAAACTTGATGATGTTCATTTGTTAGGGTGTGTTGGGGTGCGCCGCTGGGCACTTTTATCTGGGTGCATCTGAACTGAAAAAGAGCATCCAGAAGACGAATGCAACTGCCTTGCACTGGAATATTCTCTGGTTTTCAGGGTCTTTGAACCCCAGGAAAGGGGTACCTCTGATTCTCTATAGCCTCGTCAGGATTATCCAAGATGGGGAGCATAGCGCTTTTGTACCCCACTTCGGCCTGCTGGCCCCAAGCCTACCCTTCTGCTTGGCTCGAAGTAGGGTCCTGAGCTCGGAGTGGGGAGCGGACAGAGCAGCATTGGGCTGAAGGGGAGAGCCTAGAGAGGTTAGATGCTTAAGTAGGTCCCCGAAAATCCTTCCGCAAATAAAACTGGCTCCAGAAAGTAGACCCAAGTGCCACGAGGGATAAAGGGGACTCGGAGCTGGGAGAGAAAACTGGAAAAGTGCTTTCTTTTCCGTCCTCTCCTTTTCTCTTCTCTCGCTACCAGATCCTTAACCGCCCTTTTGTTTTGTGGCACCACACACCAAAGGGGTTTCATTATTTCACCCCAGAAGCCTGTGTTTTTCCAGGGATAAGTCGCCCTTCTAGAAGGCCTCTTCTCCACCAAATTGACCCCCCAATTTGGAGACATTGGGTCAGCCACCCTGTCACTCCGGCTTTCGCCAGCCTGCCAGCTCTTGCTTCCAATTCCTGTGGTGAGTGCCTGGAATTGGACATGTGGCACCTTCAGACACTTCTGGTCTTTGGGACAAGGAGAGGGTCACAAGATCCCCTCCATCTCCCCTTCAAGGACCTTCCCACTCTCTCCCTCCGTCCTCGCCCTCTGTCCTCGCCCTCAGCCACCTTCTGCTGCCAGAGCTCTCGGATCCCTGTACAGGCCTGATTCACAGGCGAGCCTGCACAGGCTCCGAGAGCGGAAAGGACTGAGAGCGTGGGGTCCTCACCCTGATTTGAAGACTCGTCTCCCCAGGAATGATGGGGGGGCATTTGTACCCTTTGGGAAGGAGGCTCTTCTCCCAACAGAGTCCCAGCACCAAATACTAATATTTGTGTTTTATCAAATGCTGATACATGTCGGCCACAGCTTCCACGGGCTCCCACTTTGGATAAGGAGAGGAGTGGAGTGAGGTGCGGAGGAAGCTGCATCTGGGGCAGAATCTGACCTGGGGCCTCCTGGGAAGCCCTATCCTATTGTGAGCCCCCCCCCCCCGAAACTCCATACCACCAGGCCTGTGTCCCTGAAGAGTGTTTGGCCCTCTCCCACGTCAGTTCTGCAAATTCTGATAAAGGGTGTAGGGCCTGTGGCTCAGGGACAGCTGCTGGGCATATCTGGACAGATTTTCCGGCGTGGTTAGGAGCAGCCTGAGCAGGCCGATTGCCCATTTCCGCTGCGGAGGCCAAGCCGCTCGCTCGCTCGCTCGCTCGCTCGGAAGGTCTTCTGCTTTAAGCGGGTTCTGGAGGAAGCTTTCCTCTTCTCTGCTTAACAGTCTCTGGAGAACAGTCTTCCTTGAACCCCAACAAGGACCTGTTTGGGGTGGAGATGAGAGGTGAGGAGGGGTCTCTGGTGCAAAGGAGCTCTGTCCTCTGCCCCAGAACCCTACCCTTCCCTCCCACCTTCCTCAAGACATCTCCAGGTCTCTGGGACGGTTCCCTCCCTCCTCTCCTACCAGCGACAGCCAGGTCTCAACCTTCCATTCAGGTCTCAACCTTCTGAGCTGCCGGCTGGTGCCATCTGGCCAGGTCCTCGAGCCCAGCCTCCCAGCCAACAGCGCGCCCGCACCCTCACCTCGGGGCAGGGCCCCGGAGGCGGCAGCAGGACTTTGAGGCTAAAGTTTCCCTTTCCCCCTTGGAGGCTGGCCTGACCATCGCTCAGTAGACAATCTGATTGTTTTGTTTTATTCGCTTGTGTTTTCTCTGTTTGTTTGTTTTGTGTTGTTTCTCCTTGGCCACAGGGGTGGGAGGAAGTATAAAGAAGTGTAAACAGGAAAGCCAGCCGGGCCTGGAGTTCCGAGGGCCCATATTTCATTGGCTTCCTCTCCATAACTGCAGCAGCCAGGACACTTAACCCTTCCCTGGCTGTGAGGAGGCATTCGCTGGGGGCTGGGGAGGCAGGGTGTGGGGAGGAGAGCCACGTTGGAAGCTCCTTTCTGGCCCTGAGTCCTTTATCCCTGGGGTCTGGGTGCTGGGGCGGAAGGCCGAGGTTCAGAGCAGGGGAGAAGGCAGGCAGATGGCGGCGGGGGCAGAGAGGAGAAGGCTCCTGCACTTCACAGCCTGGGGCCAACCTGGGCCAACCCCGGAGGCCAGGGCTGGCAAGAACCCCTCCCTTTGGGTAGGGGAGAGCCCACTGGTCACTCTCTTCATTTTGGGAGATTCTAGAAGTAATC